GAAAGCAGTATGGGGGTTCCTCAAAATGCTTAAAATAGAAATACTATTTGACCCAGGAATTCCACTTCTAGGAATTTACTCTAAGAATGCAGCAGCCCAGTTTGAAAAAGACAGATGCACCCCTATGTTTATTGCAGCAGTATGTACAATAGCCCAGAAATGGAAGCAACCTAAGTGTCCATCAGTAGATGGAATGGATAAAGAAGATGTGGTACATACACACAATGGAATATTATTCAGCCATAAGAAGGAAACAAATCCTACAATTTGCAACAACATGGATGGAGCTAGAGGGTATTATGCTCAATGAAATAAGCCAGGTGCAGAAAGACAAGTATCAAATGATTTCACTTATCTGTGGAGTATAAGAACAAAGGAAAACTGAAGGAAGAAAACAGCAGCAGAATCACAGAGCCCAAGAATGGACTAACAGTTACCAAAGGGAAAGGGACTGTGGTTGATTGGTGGGAAGGGAGAGATAAGGGGGAGAAGAAAGGGGGCATTATGATTAGCATGTATAATATGGTGGGAGGCACGGGGAAGGCTGTGCAACACAGAGAAGACGAGTAGTGACTACAGCATCTTACTACACTGATGGACAGTGACTGTAATGGGGTTTGTTGTGGGGGGCTTGGTGAAGGGGGGAGCCTAGTAAACATAATGTTCCTCATGTAATTGTAGATTAATGATACCAAAAATTTTTTAAATAAAAAAATAAAATAAATAAATTGGAGGGAGTATTTAGGTTAATGGGGTGGTTGTGTATCCTGATTGTGGTGGTGGTTACATGAATTAAAATTGAACTCACATGTAAAAAAGTGAATTTCAGTGTATGAAATTTTTAAAAATGAGTAAAAGGCAATTATGGTTTATTTGGGGATTTTGAAAGTTTACAGTCTCCAAAAATCTTCAGAACTGATCTCCCAGTAATGGTAGAATCAGTTGGAAGACATTCATCCACTTATGCAAGCATGTGGCATACTGTGAGGCCGGTGGGCAGGGAACTGCATGCATGCGTCTGTCCTGCAGGGATCTGTCCTGAGCAGGGTCACTGTATTGTGAGGTGTGGAGTGATTACTCTCAGTGGGGATTCAGAGGACCAAGAGGCTGTTTCCAAAGAGGAGGGGCTTCCAGAAATATCTTGAAACTAGCTTTGAATGATAGCCAAGGTAGAGGAGGGAGGAGGCAGCCCACACCTGGCAGGCTTGCCGCAAGCTACTGTGAACAGGACTGCCTGCAGTTCCTACTCAGTAGTCTTGTCAGGGGTGCTAGGAATTTCAAGGGGAATCTGCCCTATGTATCAAACCTAACTTTTCAAAGTCCTTGTTAAAGCCTCCAAACAGTAAGAGAAAAAGGAATTATTTAAAAAATAAGCACCCCTTTATGTGGTGGGAACTTGATAATGGGGAGAAATCTAGTAACCATGATGTTGCTCATGTGATTGTATATCAATGATACCTTAATTAAAAACAAACAAATAAACTAATAAAAATAAGCACCCCTATCTACATGAGCTGTTCTACCACTATCCCCAGTCTGGCTAACTCCCAAAGCACATTAAACTCCAAATACCCCAGATCCAGCCTCTATTCTCAGTAATAGAAACAGGAGAGGAAGGGTTAATTTAGAGACTGAATCAAGGAATTTTACTGTGAAGACATTTTTAAAATATGAAAGCCAATAATAAATAAGAAAATAAGAAAAATGAAGTGTTCCTTATTTCTTAGCCCTATACTAAAAATTATTAAGTAGTAACAAGTATCTTCAAGAATGACCTAGCATCACAGACTCCCAAGGGAAGAACCAATTTCTATTTTTTTCTTTGCCTCTCCTAGTGCCCAGCAGAGTAGCTGATAAATCCATGAGGATTTATTGGGCACTCACATGCACAAGGTACATATTGTTGGGAATTAAAGTGAACGACTCCAAACTTTGGGATAAGCCAAAGACTGTGAGTTGCTCCAACAGGCCTCCAGGAGGCCATGAGCTCTTGAGCTCGATGCAGCCGATCTCAGTGGGGATGCCGTCCGAGGGGCCCCAGCCCCATGGAACACTGCAGCCTCGGCTCCAGGAAGTCTACCTGCGTCAGAGTCAGGTCCAGTGGCGGGCACCTGGTGAGATGGAAGCTGTGAATGTGGGTCAGAGGAAGGGAAGGAAACATCGCCTGCCCCAGAGGCCATTGTCCACGGGTGGACAGCAGACACAGCGACAGGATGTGGTCAGTCAGAGAGCCCTACACGGACTCCCCAGCCTCACAGGGCCTACTGTGTGAAGGAACACGTTGTCGGTAGTGGGGGGACCCGGAAAGGGCCATGTGGGGAGGCTTAGCTTGAAACACATCATTGACGACAACGATCCTAATCAAAAGACAGAAGTGCGGATAGAAAAGAAAGGTGTCCTTTTTCCCGTGGGAGTGAGAGTCTCTTTCAAACTGGTCCTGTCAGAATTATTTCAGGTAGAAACAGTATGGTGAGGATACTCACAGTCCCAGCAAGCTACAAAAAGGAAGGGGAGAGAGAGAGGAGTGTTACATGTCTGGAACACAGACTAAAAATAACCCAAGACACACAATTTCAACAAAGCTTAATATTTTGTTTGACTAACTGCAAATGAGGCTAGTTTCTAGGTAACAGGAAGCCAAAATCAAGGATTCAGGAACAGGTACACAGAGCTTTATTAATTTGTGAGCTTCCTGACCTTTTCTTCTTGAGAGCCATGCCCTGCAGACTTCAGCAGAATTTTGGTTGAAATCTGAAACACTGATCATTTGTCTTAGAAGCAGAACAGATGAGCCTCTGATTAAAGGGCACTATAGCTAAGATTCAATTTGTTTTGTCTCTCTTCTTACAGCCTTCTGAGAGTCATTCAGCAGGCAGGCTAAAATATGGAGCCTTCTTTTCTTCCCCAGTGAACACCTGGGAAGCTCTATTTTCCTGCAGGATTGTGGGGATTTCCAACCGAACTTCATCTCTGCTGCATAATGTTGCTGCTGTGTTTCAATAATCTCCATATCTAGAGAAAGGGTGGAAACCCCCCCCAGGGTTTCTTCTGAGCAAAACAACATCTGGTTTCTCTAAGTGATTTACTCTGCAAGCATGAGATGAAGCAGAGGCAGTGATGGTAAATCTTGAAGGAAGCACAGGCCTGGCAATGTCCCTGGTCATTTTATTCAATTCCTAGGAAGTGAGCAAGTCGCTCCAACATAGTACACGATGTTTTTTAGCTCTGGCAACAGATTGGCCTTCTGTGCTGTGTCCCACAGTCTGTGCCCCACGTCAGAGCCATCAACTCCTGTGACTGTCTTAACCTGTGGCCACTGAGCTGCTGAGCACAAGCAGATAGGAACCCAGCCCACAGCCTCCTGCACAGCTCAAGGCAGGCAGCAGATCTCTTTCTTCTGACTGAGAACTTCAGTTTGTCATCCCAGCTGGGGTGAGGCTAGAAGCTCGGCCTCTGGGAGTGGAGACTGGCAAAGCTAGGTGACCTGGGGAGACTACCTGCCCTCTTTTAGGGTGCTTCTCTTTTTATCTATTTTTCCTATGAATCTTTACTTATGCCTCTTCCTCCAAAACTCTAATCCTTTGGGCCCTCCTGTTTTATTCTCGAACACTCCCTTTTTTCCCCCTTTCCTCCCGGCTTCCTAGCTCCCCTATTTTATCCTGGGGGTAGGCTCCCAGCTCCCAGCTCAGGACCTGGCCCCTCATTCCAGGGGGCAGAGAGCACCTGCAGAGCTGGGGAGCAAACACCTTAGACCAGGAATCCTGCCTTGCAGGAGGCCATCTATGAAGTGAGGCCCTCTGAGTTAGCCCCAAAGACCTGTCACTCAAACCCTCATTTGCACTCACATTCTGGAGCTCCATGTTTACCAATCAGCACCCGTCTGGTTATAGAACACCCCTGCCATCCCCCACCCCCCTAATTTCCTGGCTAACTCACTCCATTTAGTTGGAAAACTATCTTCAAATCTCAAACCCCACAAGGGCCAGAATTCACCTCCGTGGCCCCCTCGACCTCCTTGTTCTCCCTTGGGAGATGTTGTTCCATTTCATGGGATACCAGCACACCCTGAGGGGGTCTGCTCACACACCTGTGTCCCTAGGTGGCCCCTTTTGTCCTCTCCCCATGGCCCCAGGCCCTGGTTCTCACCTCCCCTTGTGCTGGAAGCCTTTCTACCTCCCACACAATGGCTACCTACAGGTCTACCTTGGGGTCTTCCCTCCATTGGCACCTTCATGCTCCTTTTCAGCTGCCCACATTTGGCAGGACTTTGTCATCTCTGCAAGGCCACACACCGTCCCTTGGCCCTGCTCTCTTTGCTGAGACATTTCCCTGAGTTCCTCCTATGGGTTTATGTCTGTGTCTCTCTCATTTCACGTGCTTGGGAACCTCAGCCATGCATGTGGCTTTCAGGACCACAGGCATGCCAGTGACTTCAACACCCGTGCGTCCTCTCCTGATCCTCCCTTTGTCAAAGCCCAGTTTTTCATTACCTGTGGGCCTTCTAATCCAGGACCCACACAGTGCCTCCACCTCTACAATGTTGAACGTCATCATCCTTTCCCACCAGTTGCTTTCCCTTCACAGTTTCTCCCTTCTCTCCTTGATGGCAAATATGAAGCCTCCCCTGCTCTGGCCTGAGTTACTTCAAACTTGTTCTTTCCTTGCCACACGCGCTTGTAATGACCCCATCTTCATCTAGTGTCCCTCAGCAAGGCCTCTCTGGCTTTCCTGTTTCACAATCCTTGATTGTGATTACATAAGCATTATCATAAACCCCAAAGGAAACACAAAACATACAAATCACCTAAAATTCTACCACTTAACACAGTAAGTCGTGACATTTATCTACTTTCACATCTAGTGCTTGTTTCTGCGTACATGTACATATATTTACCTATATGCAAAACTGATGAGTATCCAGATTTACTTTTCTGCTTTTTAATGACAATATTTTTTATATTCTGATGAGTCTTCATAAAAACCATATCTGCTTCATATTTTGTCAGAAGACGATGCACTAGAACCTGATTATTCTCTAAGTGTGAATAGTCTGCATGTATATTCATTTCACTCATATGAATAATATTTCAGCAACCATCTTTACCTGTCACTACTTATTTTCCTTATTTCCTCAGGATAAATTTTTAGAAATGAGTTCACTGGGTTTTTTCTACCTCATTTTCCCCTCTTCATAAGCAAAGACAAGCTCTCTATTTGTCGGCCCTGCTTTATTCCTTTGCTGAAGCTATTCTCTGGCTGTTCCCTGTCACCTCCCTGTAACCGGATTCCACTACCCCATCCCAGGAGACCAAGCTGCCGACTAACACCATCTCCAGGCTCGTCCCTTATCTCTGTGCTCTCATGAGCCTTTGCACATGGCTGCTCTTAGGGCGAGCCAAGCCACACGCCTTCTGAGTTGGTCTCCAGTTGTTTCCCAGAGGCATGCTTTCTGTCTCATGCAATTTCATGCATGAGACTGGATGGAAATGAACCCACCTCATGGGCCTTTTATTTATGCCCCTTTGCCCCCCACCTCTGATGTGAGCTGGTCCTGCAGGAGGCACTCATGACAGAAGACGTATGCCTCTCCCCAGTGACTCCTGCATGTCCACACTGCGCTCATCCTGCACGACCTCACTAGTCACTGATGACACACCATGACACTCAGAGACTCACAGCTGTGGTCCTGCATGAACTGGGTCAGATCACACTACTGTAAATAAAAGATAGAGAGAATAGAAACATAAGTGCAGTGAACTCTGAGTGGCCATATTTATTTGCCAGGGGACTGGCTGGGTTTTCTTTTGTTAAAAGGGAGATACATACAGAATATATATGTATATTTTCTGCCTTATGTTTAGGGCCCTGGAAAACAAAATCAGAGCAAGTTATTGGTATGTGAATTGGAGTCTTTAGTGACAAAACAAGAGCAAAGAAAAAACCTTCACTCTTGAAAGCACAGCTGGCAGACAGCCCCTAAAGGAATCCTGCGCTGGTGGATACAACGTGGTTTCCCCGCATAAACCAACAGTGTAAACTTTTATTTCAATGTTCAATCAATCCAAGTGGGCATCCCACATAAGAAGAGACCCACAGTAAGCTCCTAGATGCTGAGAGGCTATGCAAATGATTGGGGGAGATGAATCAGGGAAGGTTCCTGATAAAAGGCAGTGCTTATTTCTTGACAGATTGAGTTTTTCTCTTTGCCACTTTTAATTTCCTTTTATCAGGATCAGGCTTTTCCTTCACAGCTGGTTCTTAACACATTTGTGCACATGGATCCCCAGGGCAGGGGATGAATGCTCAGATGCTAGCTTCAGAAAATGTTATTACGTGCTCACACTCCCAGGTTCACTGGCCCCTCGGAAGTTCATCCAGGATGTTCAAATGACAACTGGGTCATTTGTCCATCCATCCAATAAACAGCTGAATGTTGCTAAAGGCTGAGGGGGCCCACTGTGCACCGCTGGATGCACCAGAAATGCTGTGGCATCCATGATTATACCCATTGGGAGCATATTTTCTTCCTGACCAAATCAGGAAATATGTGTCTCACTAAAAGACGCAGAGTCTTATCCTTCCCTTTATGAGCGAGGTAGAAAACATAAAAGTACACACAGACATTTCAACACAGAGAGGAACCGTTTCTGGCTAATTAGATGAGTAGGCAGCCCACGTTTTACAGAACTGCAGAGAATATGTCCCAAAAGGTGTTTGAGAATAACTTTGAGCAAGTTCTTAGGCAGAGGCTGAAGATCAGAGGCCTGAGACAAGCCACATTCTACCAGACAGGCAGGGCCAAGCACAAGACCGGAAGGTGTGGGCCCCCCAGTAAGAGGTCCAGAATCCGGAAAGGAGGTAAGTCCAGACCAGACCAGAGTGACTCAGAGACTAGATTCTCCCCTACGTGTCTTAAGACATTCCCCGGTTCCTTAATGGGAAAGAAAGACGAGATTATATCAGCGTATCCTTTATAGTTAGTTTATTCTCATTCTACTATCAATCCAGTTGTCCACAAAGCATCCATGTTTTTTGTTTTCCTTACATAGTGCCAAGTTAAAGAACCCCAGGAGGCAGTCGGAGGACTCTCACAATGCCCAGA